AGCGTCAACATCATCAGCACCACCACCATCATCATCATCATCATCATCATCAGCAGCAGCATCATCATCATCTTCCTCCTCCTCATCGTCCTCCGCCTCCTCCTCCTTCCCTCCTCCTCCTACTCCTCCTCTTCCTCCTCCTCCTCCGCCTCCTCCTCCGACTTCTCTTATTCCTCGGCCTCATCCTCCTCCTCCTCCTCCTCCTCCGCCTCCTCCTCGCTCCTCCTCCCCCTCCTCCTCCTCCTCCTCCCTACCTCCTCCTCCTCCTCCTCCTCGTCCTCCTCCTCCTCCTCCTCTTCCGCCTCCTCTTCCTCCTCCTCCTCCTCCTCCTCCTCCTCCTCCTCCTCCTCCTCATCATCATCATCATCATCATCATCATCATCATCAGCATCACCATCATCACCATCATCATCATCAGCATCAGCTGCATCAACATCATCATCCTCCTCCTCCGCCTCCTCCTCCTCCTCCTGTCGCCCGAGGTCGGACCCGAGAAGGATCTGAGAGGAGGGGGGGGGGGAAGCGGGGGGCGGCGCAGGAGGGATGCCGAGGCAGACACCGCCCGAGGGCCGAAAGGCGCCACAGCGGGGAGACGGGGAGAGAAGGAGAGACAGAGAGGACAAAGTCGTCATCGAACGTCCGCAAAGGTGTCGCGCCTTCCTCGAATGAGCGAAGAAAACAAAAGAGAGTCAGCGAGGCAAGGGCAGGGAGGGAGGAGCGAGGCGAGAGGGAGGGGACAGGAACGGGGCGGCTGCAACGCGCAAGGCAAAAAAAAAGCTTTACAGGTAAAAAAGATGTTTTTTGCCTGTGGCGCTTTTTTTTTGCCTTGCGCGTCGGGTCCCCGGGGCACTGGCCGGGGCGCGCGCGCCGGGCGGGGGGGTGCTCCTCCGCTTCCCTCGGCCTGGCTCACAAAAGGAATCGCGACCAGGGTTTTTGCCTGTGGCGCTCCTGGGGCCCAAAGAAGGAATCGCGACCTGGGTTTTTGCCTGTGGCGCTTTTTTTTTGCCTTGCGCGTCGGGCCTCCGGGTCTTGCCGAGAGCGCGCGCGTGTAGAGGAAGTGCTCCCCTGCTCTCCTCCGCGTCAGTGGCGCTCCTGAAGCCCAAAGAAGGAATCGTGACCTGGGTTTTTGCCTGTGGCGTTCTGGGGCCCAAAGAAGGAATCGTGACCTGGGTTTTTGGCCTGTGGCGTTTTACTTTCGCCTGCGCGCTCGGGCCGGGCGGACGGAGGTGCCATGCGGACGCAGCCACTGGAGCCTTCGGTGGAGCTGCATATGGGGCCACGACCCGTGTGAGCGGTGTGAGGAGGTATGGTCGGGCATGCGGTGAAAGTGCTGACGATGACGGGAGGGGGGAGGAGGAGGAGGAGGAGGAGGAGGAGGAGGAGCTGAGGAGGAGGAACGCAGGGGCCTGAACGCTGGAGGCCGATGCGAAGTACTAAAGATGAGGCGGTGTATTAGGAGAGGGACGACGACAAAGAGGACGAGAAGGAAGAGAAGGAGGAGGAGCAAGAGGGGGGACGCAGGAGGAGGAGGCAGAGGAGAAGGAGGCACAGAACGAGGACGAAGAGGAGGACGAGAACTCTCACGGGCGGGGCGGGACGGGGCAGACCCTAGCAGGCGGGTCGGGCGGGCGGACCCTAACGGGCGGCTCGGGACAGGCGGGCGGGACACTAAAGTCTGATACATATACGGCATGACGCATGAGAACCCTAACGGCCCGGGCGGGACGGGCGGACCCTATCGGGCTGGTCGGGCGGGCGGACCCTAACGGGCGGGTCGGGTCGGGCGGGCGGGACACTAAAGTCTGATGCGCATACAGCGTGACACATGAGAACCCTAACGGGCGGGACGGGACGGGCGGACCCTATCGGGCGGGTCGGGCGGGCGGACCCTAACGGGCGGGTCGGGTCGGGCGGGCGGGACACTAAAGTCGGATGCGTATCAGCGTGACAATGAGAACGCCTAACGGCCGAACGAAACGGGGGCCGGGGGGGGGGGAGGTAAACCCTATCGGGCGGTCGGGCGGGCGGACGCCTAACGGGCGGGTCGGGGGTCGGGTTGGGCGGGACAGAGGGGAGGAGTGGTAGACATACAGCAGACACTGAAGATGTATAACGGGCGGGGGCGGGAACGGGCGGGACGGGCGGACCCTATCGGGCGGGTCGGTGCGGGCGACCCTAACGTGCGGGTCGGGTCTGGTGGGCGACACTACAAGTCTGATGCGCATCAGCAAGACACATGTGAACCCTACGGGCGGGACGGGACGGCGGACCCAATCGGGCGGGTCGGGCGGGCGGACCCTAACGGGCGGGTCGGGTCGGGCGGGCGGGACACTAAAGTCGGATGCGTATACAGCGTGACACATGAGAACCCTAACGGCCGGAACGGGACGTGCGGACCCTATCGGGCGGGTCGGGCGGGCGGACCCTAACGGGCGGGTCGGGTCGGGCGGGCGGGACACTAAAGGCTGATGCGCATACAGCAAAACACATGAGAACCCTAACGGGCGGGGCGGGACGGGCGGGACGGGCGGACCCTATCGGGCGGGCGGACCGTAACGGGCGGGTCGGGTCGGGCGGGCGGGA